GAAAAAGAGAGGGAGACTCCTGCCTTGAGCTGCGTGGGAAACTGTTGTTCCATCCAGAGAAAAGTTTGGAGATTTCAAATAAGTTCCCTGGGCTAGATTGGTAAAAAACGGTGAACACCTGAAAATTTTTATTCACAATATTTTGTTTTGGAAACTGAACCTCGGCGTTTCCCAAATGAAATCTGCTCCCAGGCTGCCTGCAGGGGAGCAAGCCCTGACTTCCAAGCAGGTTGGTGAGGAGCCCAGCTTCTGAGCTGACAAGAAGCCAATGCAGGTTTCAAATGCTACCTGGGATCTGTCCAGAGTTAGTGGAAACTGAACTGTTCCTGCAAAATGGCTTGATTGATAAATCAGCAAATTCTGAAACACCCTCTCCCCAGCTTCCCCCAAAATGTTTGGCTTTTTTATTTTATTTTTGGGAATCTTTCTGACTAACTAAACTTCAGCCCTACAGGGATAGCTTCATCCTGGAGTATGGGCAAACTGTGGCATGGACCCAGCCTCCCTAAGCTGACAGCAGCTGTCTGTTTGGAAGTAGGGGAAAGGGCCTTGGGTGCTGGTGGAGAAGGACAATACTTCTAATAATGGGGTGTGTGGGGGGGGGTAATATTAGTCCCATTTTACAGATGGGTAAACAGAGGGATCCCATTCAGTGGGAGAGCCGAGATTAGAACCCTGGAGTCCTGGCCTCTCCTTCTTTGCTCTGTACAGTACTCCCAACCTTTCCAGACTATTGTCCCCCTTTCAGGAGTCTGATTTGTCTTTCATACCCCCAAGTTTTCCCTCACTTAAAAACCACTCTCTTACAAAATCAGACAAAAAAATACAAAGAAGTGTCACAGCACATTATTATTACTGAAAAATTGTTTTTACTTTCTCATTTTTACCATATAATTATAAAATCAATTGGAATATAAATATTGTACTTACATTTCAGTATATAGAGCAGTATAAAGTAATTGTCTGTGACGTAGTTTGTACTGGCTTTGCTAGCGCTTTCTATGTTGTAAAACTAGGCAAATCTCTAGATGAGTTGATGTACTCCCTGGAAGATCTCTGCGTCCCCCCAGGGGTATAAGTACCCCTGGTTGAGAACCACTGAGCTAGGCTGCCTGGCTTAAGCTGCACAGGGGAGGGGTGCACCTGGGCTCAGGAGCGTCTGAGACCTGGGAGAATGGACCGCTCCCCCAGGGTCAGGGGAATGTGGGACCCAGCCAGGATGCCTGCTACACCTCCCATCCCAAAGCTGGGAAGGAGATGTCTATCACAAGCCTGCCTGGCTGCACCCTATTTCTGGTTGTTGGTTCTGCTCTGCTTTGGGGAGGGACAATCTGTCTGAGCAGCTAGGCACGCGCTCCTTCCTGTACTTGCCTTGGGGGTTATTTAAGGTGAATAACTGATTAGTGTGGACAGGGGCCAAGCTGTCCAGATCCAGTCCTTGGAAGAAAAGCCACGTTATCGCCTCTTTCACCGCCACACAAAGGGCAGCATCAGCCCCTGGTCGGTGCCTCTAGCCGCGCCTCGCGCTGGGCACTTGTGAAGCCTGGGCGAAGATTTTTGCCTCTCTGAAACTTTTCACCTCTTGACTTCAGGGAGCAGCAAGTCCCAGCCTCGGGGCTTTCTATCTCTAGCCCCCTTTCCCCTTGTAACTCCATTAATCCTACTTCCCTGGCAGCCCACAAGGCTGTGTGAGCCATTTTCCTCTCTCCTGCTAATGTCCTTGCTGTCTCGGCTGTGGCTGTGCAAACCCAAGCAATCACGTCAATAACAGCAAACGGATACCGGGGAAGAACCAAACCTACGATGAAGGCAGAGGCTGGGCAGATGATTGTTTCTTACATGTTACCGGCCCTTGTCTGGCTTCTCTTGCCAATAAGCTCTGATTGAATCTGAGGATGAGGGCATGGCCTGACATATTGCTGGTGGAGATACCTTATCTGCTGGCTCCTTTTCCAGGCTTACAATCATAAATTGTCCTTCTCTCGCCCCTTTCATCAAAGGGCCTCAAAGCACAGTACAGACCCTAAGGAATGAAGCCTCAACCCTTCCCTGGAGGTGGAGATATAATCCCAGATAGGGAAACTGAGGCACGCCTGTGACTTGCCCAAGGAACCACGGCAACTCAGTAACAGAGCTGGGAAGAGAACCCATGAGGTCGGATTCCCGGTGCCTTTGGTCTAACCCAGTGGTTCTCAACCTATTTACCATTGTGGGCCGCATCCAATACTACCTATATGGCCCTGAGGATGTCACATGGGCCGCAGCTGTGTGCTGACTGGGCCGCAGGTTGAGAACCACTGGGCTAACCACTAACGCCCACTTCTGAGCTGTGGATTAGAACAAGGATGGTGGGGGTGGAGAGCGTCAGGCTTCACTTCTCAGTTACTGAAGGCCAGGATTGGAGTTTTTATGCTGCTTTTGGTTGTTTCTGCTCCAGTCGTAATTTTTCGGGGGTGCTGAGTTACTGTGACTGCTCTGTACACACATCAGGTCTGTATGCACACAAGAGATTGGAGGCCCAGGTACCTCTTGGCATCAGCAGCCTCCCTGCTCCTTTTTCACAACTCCTGCCAGCTGGACAGGTCCCCAGAGGCTAGGCTAAGCCTTTCTCCTGATCCTTTCAGCCTGAGCCCTCGTGCAAGCAGCAAAGGGAGAGCAAAGTCCGCCTGCCAGTGGCTGGTTTGGGTGACATGGACAGGTGGTGCCACAAGTACAGGGTTTGTGCTATCGCTTCCTCCAAACCAGCTCAGAAGTTAAAGCAGCCTGTCCTGGGATGAGCTGGATTGTAAACTTGGCTTCATGCTCCTTTCCAAAGCAGCAGGTGGAGTGCAGCTGAGAGGAGACACTTGGCAAGGCACCGCTAGGCCAGGGAGCCACACTCCACACTGGGAGTTAAGAGGTCTGGCATCTGTTCCCAGCTCTGCCACTGACTTGCTGTGTGTCTTTGGGCACGTCACTTCATCTCTCTGCAGCTCCGCATCCCCATCGGTAAAGCCAGGCTCACAGCGCTGATCTAGTTATAAGACCAGCAGCAGGCCAGGTTGTTTTCGTTCCCGGGCTCAGGTGAGACTTGCCAATCAGTCTGTGCATCCCCCCTTTTAAGGGGCTGGCTGGCAGCTTGTCCCCCAAGGAATAACTACCTTCCCTTTGGCTGCCCTGGCAGACAATAGGACTTTTCCTAGCTTGCATCCAGGCCTCCCAGCATGGTGTATTGGGAAGAGGTTCTCAAGGGAAGGGGATGCTGAGTGCCTGGAAAAGGAGGCTGTGTGTAGAGGGGACTGCTGGGGTGGGGAGACTCTCATGCGACAGGAATGCTGGGTGATGGGGGAGTTCTCAGCTGAAGGCAGATTCGTATCATGCCAGACTGGACACTGCACTAGATAACAGACCGTAGAGAACAAGCTTGGCCCATGTCAGGGCACTGGGACAAGATGACCGTGCTGGACTTTTCCATCTGGCTTCTGCCAGAGGAGAACACTACGGACTTGAGGGCAGGGTTCTGAGCGGAGAGCATGCTGGGTAACAATCCGGCCTCTCTTCCCAAGCTATTTAAAGAAACATTGCGGTTCGGGAACAAACAGAGAGACAGCAAGGCCCTGCTGCGTGCACCCGTTGTGCCAGAGAGGTGGCTGGACGCAGCCCACTCTGGACAGAGCTGCTGGCAAGCCCAGGCGCTGTCCAGAAGGTCAGATTGACATTCACCAGCTGCACGAGGACGCCGCGGTAAATAAATTGTAAAGCATTCGAACGTCCAGAAAGAAACTCTTAAACTTGCTGATTCTGATGAGGGACAAAATCACTCCTGGTTTAACTTTAGGCTTTAGCAGAGTTACACCGGGGTGAATAAGGTCCACTGACTTGCATCGCTGACTGCTCCCCGTCACTGCATACTCAGTCCGATCTCCACGCGCCGCTGCTAAGGAGGGCTGACTCGGGTCCTGCAGGAGCTAGTTTGGAGGCAGGAACTACCGTACCCGCCAGAACTCCTTGGGGAGCATTAGCAGGCGCCAAAGTCATTCAGCTGGCCCTGCTGTCCTGGTCAGGGCTCAGGCCCCATTGCTGCTCAGTGGGATTTCTGTACTGTTAAATACCATTGAGCAGACATGGGTGGACAGTTCAGGGAAGGGAGGGTGTGGAGTGATTTTTAACAGCCCCTGAGTCTCCTTCCAGCCCCACCGAAATCATCAGGTGTGGTGGATCGTTGACAACAGGGAGGCAACATGCATTCCTCCTACATCCTGTGCCCTGTGATCCCCTTGTCTTCCTGCACCCTCCTCCAGCTCCTGCTTAGAGCAGCCTCCCATAAACTGCTTTCCTAGCCACCCCCTAGGCAGTGACACCCACCCTCCTCCCCTCGCCCCCTCCCAGAGAGCACATCATGGTCAACGAGCCCCACAGCGCCAGCAATGGGAGCGCCAGTTCCAGGTCGGACGGCAGCAGCAGCGGCAGTGAGGGCTCCAAGGACAGCTCGCGATGCTCCACCCCCGTCCTGGATGCGGAGCGCCACGAGCGGCTGCGGGAGAAGATGCGCCGGCGATACGACTCCGGGGACAAGTGGTTCTCCTTAGAGTTCTTCCCCCCGCGGACGGCCAATGGTGCGGTCAACCTGATCTCCAGGTGAGCCCTGCGGGGTGGGGGAAACAGGGAGGAGGCACGATGGCTTTGATTGGGGGACAGCCTGATAGAGCCGGTTCAGGCCTGTGCTCTGTCTCCCTTCCAGGTGAAGAAGCAGGTAATGGGTCTGTGCTTCCCTGCTGAGAAGGGTGATGGACTCCAGGTAATTCATCTTTGCATCCCCATAGAGTTAAACACCATGGTGGGATTACTAAGGGGGCTGGATCATTTCGTATGCGAACATATTCCTGCTAAAGGTGAATCCACATTCATGCTTCAGAGTCTGAGCTGATCACTGTGGGGTCAGGCAGGGGAGCAGAAAGGAATCTTCCTCTTGCTTAGTGAGCAGGATCCAGTAGGTGCATGCGTGGGGTGCGTATGGGTGTCTCTCCAGGAAGCATCGTGTATTAGTTTCTGCCCCTGGCAATGACCAAACTAGATGGACCGGTGGCTGGTCTAATCTTGCGGGGCCCATGGCCTTGGCAACATGAATCCTGCTTGCTTTCCGGTCATCTAGATGCTTTGCTTTAGGCCCTTGTCTTTTCCCGCTCCTGGTGGGCGTCTCTCCCTGTGTGTCCAGGCCAAACCTCTGCAGTGCTGCGTAATGCGAACGCTCTGCCCCCTGTGCCCAGCCCATGCAGGAAGGGCCTCTTGGGTCACAAGTCACCGTGGCAACGTCCAAAGGGAAAGGTGTGGTTTGAAAACCTCTGGCCTGTGCTAACGGAATAACAGGGCCCTGCTTTGCACGCCTTGGCCAGGTTCCAGCCTGGGGTAAGCAGGGGCAGCAGCACTGAAGGCAGGGGAGTCTCTGGCATCTGGAGCAGGCCTCCGTTTGGAATCTGGACTTAGATTAGACCTATTAGTTCCCCTTCCCCTCCTAATGGCCCCAGCAGCGCCTGCTTATTCCCTGTAGTCCCCGTTATACCCTATTCCCTAGATGCGTATCGTAGCCATGGGCCTGCCACCTTCTCCTTTGGAAGAAGATGCCACAGCCTCCTAGATGTGGCTGGGAGGAAGCTTCTGGTAGATCCGGTCTAGAATTCTTCCTCTTTAAAAAAAAAAAAAAAAAAAGTTGTCCGAACTGCTAGTTCCACCCCTTTGGCTCTCCCTGAACATGATCTCGCCTCTGTGGTGTTGATCTGCCAGGTTCTCGTGGCCCTTAGTAGTTCCTTCACCAACCTGGAGCGAGTAAGGTCTTGGTCTCTTTTCCTGAGGTGGCTGCTTCAGCCCAGTAACTGTTCTTGCTGCTCTGGTCCAAATTCCCTCCCGTCTGCCACACGCTGTCTGGTAGTGAGTGCGATATTCCAGGCCTGGGGGTGGCAGCGCCCCCACAGGCTAGCAATAAACTGCTTCTGTTATAATCTGCAGGTTCGACCGCATGGGGATGGGTGGCCCCCTCTTCATTGATGTGACCTGGCACCCGGCAGGGGACCCGGGCTCCGACAAGGAGACCTCCTCCATGATCATTGCCAACACGGCCGTCAACTACTGTGGCCTGGAGACCGTCCTGCACATGACATGTTGCAACCAGACCAAGGAGGAGATCACAGGGCATCTGCAGAAAGCCAAGCATCTGGGGCTGAAGAACATCATGGCGCTGCGAGGAGGTGAGCCTTGGGGATAATGCCAGAGGTACCTTCACCTCCAGTGAGCGACTCCTCTGTGGGAGGAACTAGAATGAACCAATCTGGCGATCTAGCATCCCTCCCAGTTCTGGGGCCATGTGATTAAGCATCTGTCTGAATCTGTTGTCCCAGGATAGGGAAGTCCTCTTGGGTTAGGGCTGAGATGAGTTAACCTTAGCCCAGAAGGCGTGGTGCCTCCAGCTCAGGTGGTGGAGGTGAAGGGCCCATGGGTGGAACCAAGTAAGGGTCCAATGACCTTGGAGATGCCATTTCCCCTTCCTCTCAGTGATGGGCGGCCCGTCTAGCACTGGTTGAGCTTTGCTATACACAGGCCATGGGTCAGACCCGTCTCCATTTCTCCTCATGCAGACCCCATTGGCGAGGAGTGGGAGGAAGAGGTGGAAGGCTTCAACTACGCCGTCGACTTGGTGAAGCACATTCGCTGCGAGTTCGATGACTATTTTGACATCTGCGTGGCAGGTAAACACGTCTTTTTATGGGCGAGCGGTGGTGGGGTTTGCCTCTGATCGTGGGGATCGGCAGACTGTGCTGGCAAGACTCTGAGCGACAGCTTGTGGATGCTGGACTCGGTCCTGAATGGTTCAGGCGTTTGATGCCCCAGCGTGACCGAAGCTCTGAAGGAGAAAACGTGCTGCCTCCTGGCTCAGCTCCTCCTCTTCTCTTCTCTCTGAAGGTTACCCCAAGGGCCACCCTGAAGCCGAGAGCTACGAAGCCGACCTGAGGCACTTGAAGGAGAAAGTCTCTGCTGGGGCTGACTTCATCATCACGCAGCTCTTCTTCAGGTCCAAGACCTTCCTCGCGTTCATGAAGGACTGTCAGGCCATTGGCATCACCTGCCCCATCGTACCTGGCATCTTTCCCATCCAGGTGAGATTCCCCAGCCCTTGCCAGGACGGGTCCATAGTTGGATTTTTGGGCTAAATCCTGCCAGGTCCCAAGCACCCTCAACTAAAGCTCCAAGTCACTGGGAGATGAGGGTGCTCAGTGCTCCCCAGGAGGCAACTGGTAGCTTGTAAGATCTGACTGTTGTCTCTGCAGAGCAAAAATGTAGCAGGACAAAGTAATGGAAGGATGGTGGGAGCCACCTTTCCAGGGGGGTCTTCATTAGTCATGTCACTAAGCACACCTAGCACAATGCAATGGGTAAACTGGAGCCCTCGGCCAAACAGTGCCAAGCCAATAACTGCAGGTCTCTTCCCTGAAGAGTTTACAGTCTAAAGACACCAGCCGGGATGCTACGGTACAGAACAGCGGCTCGGAGCTTTGCATTCCTCTTTACGCTTCCGCCTTGCCTGCAGAGATCTTGAGTGCTTTTCAAACACGAATTAACCCCCAATTGCCTGCCCCCTTTGAAGGAGGTAAATACTGCCCCCTTTTTAAAGATTGGGGCGGGGGGGGGGAAGAAATGGAGCACAGAGAGGTTAAAGTGATTTGTCGGAGGTTGCACTAAAAATCAGTGATAAAGATGGGAATAGAACCCAGGGGTCCTGATGCAAAGTCTCCTGTTTTGACTACTATAAAAACTCTTCCCCCAGCGGAGATCTTTCCTGGTACAGATATTACTTTGTCAACTGGCTGGGGAACAGAAATAGGCCTGAAAATTGAAAGGCCTCGTTAGCCTTTCCCTCAGGTATTCCCCTTGTATCCCATACCCAGGGTTACCATTCTCTGCGCCAGCTCGTGAAGCTCTCCAAACTCGAGGTGCCACAGGAGATCAAAGAAGTGATCGAGCCCATCAAGGACAACGACGCAGCCATCCGGAACTACGGGGTGGAGCTGGCGGTGTCCATGTGCCGGGAGCTGCTGGACAGTGGCATGGTGTCTGGTCTGCATTTCTACACCCTCAACAGAGAAGTGGCCACCACTGAGATCCTCAAACGTCTGGGCATTTGGAAAGAGGATCCCAGGTGAGCAGAGAGCTACTCCTGGAACATCTTTTTCCTGTCACAGCTGCACCTTCAATAGATATGACCTGTAAAGGAAAGAAAAAGAGCTGGTGCCTTTCCTTTACTGCTTTCTGCAGTAAAGGAAACCTTGGCTGGTGGTTCCCCCGCACTGCCACCCTCTCCTTCTGTTTGTATTGATACATTAGAAATTCAGGTCTGGCCTTCCCTAGAGGACTCTGTGGATGACTGGAGAGCTGGGAGGATTATGACCTCAAAAGTACTAAGGGTGTGAGAGCTGCAGCAACGGAGGGGAAGGTGGTTTGTAGTCAGACTGTTTAAACCTATTGGCGGGGTTTTGTTTTGTGGTATAGGTGTGGGTTTGTTGTGGCTTTTGTTGTTTTTTGTTGTTGTTTTTTTTTTACAAGCACTTAACTCAAATGCGTGACGAACAGTCGGGAGATAAGAACTTTTCATCTTCCCCATCCCTTGGTGTTAAGTGCTGAGTAAGCTCAAACTGTGATCTCCAGCAGAAATAGGGAAAATGTTCAATAGTTGAGCAGGGGGCTGTCCGGTGAGGGTGGGGGACACAAACATTGGGGTCTTTTTTTCTTTTAAAAATAGTAAACCTTTCAGGCCTGTCTAGCCACCAGAAAAGGGCAGGAGCCCGTCTGTGTATTTAATCTGTGCAATTCGTCTTTAACAAACTGCCCAGCCGCCTGGGAGGATACATGTGAGGGGGATAACGAATGCCTTGGCATGAACTGCCATCTCCCGAATGGGGGAGAGGTATCCGCTCGGGAGGGAGGTGCCTCTGTGGATGCAGTGAGGGCTCTCAATTCTGCTTCAGTCCCCCAGAGCCCTGCCTCTCCCATAAAATGCATTTACTAGCAGTGCTTTCAATCCCAAAACAGGGAGTCTGTTACGGAGAAGCCACCCTAATAATCTCCATTTTCCCCAAAGACGGCCTCTGCCCTGGGCAGTCAGCGCCCACCCCAAGAGGAGAGTCGAAGACGTCCGGCCTATTTTCTGGGCCTCCAGGCCAAAGAGCTACATTCACCGAACTCAGGAATGGGACGATTTCCCCAATGGCCGCTGGTGAGTCTCTGGCCTAGGCCAAAGGGGGCTGGAGCCAGGGCGAGTGGAGCAGGAAGCCATTTGAGTCATGGGACCATCCGCTCCGACTTCACTTGAAATGGAAGGGTGGCTCTGTAGGACAGGCAGAGGCTGCTGGACTCGTTTCAGGACTCTTTTGGAGTCCCGTCACTTAGTCCATCTGGTGATACTTTGCTAGGAGACTCTCTGGTGGTGCCCTGTTGCTTGGAGCTGCATGAGGGGGCGAGCTGCTGGGTGGGGTTGAGTGGATGGCCCCAATGCGGTGGGGGTGCGGATCCCTGGTTGATTGGCGACTCTCTCCCCATCTTGGGGGGTGGGGGGTGGCTTTTTCCCCACCCTCTGGAACAGTCCGTCAAGCAGGTCACATTCCACCCCAGGCAGCACATAAACCCCGTCTCTCTGCTCCACCCCGCAGGGGGAACTCTTCCTCGCCAGCCTTCGGCGAGCTGAAGGACTATTACCTCTTCTACCTGAAGAGCAAGTCGCCTCGGGAGGAGCTCCTGAAGATGTGGGGGGAGGAGCTGATGAGCGAGGAGAGTGTCTTCGAGGTGTTCACCTGTTACATCTCCGGAGAGCCCAACAAGGAGGGGCACAAGGTGAGTGAAGGCCTGGGGCTGAGAACGGAGAGGGAGGCTCATTGGAGAGTGGGGCAGTGCAGCCCCCAACGAGGACTGGCTCGGAGAGAGACAATGTTGCTTATTTCATGCCCTCTCAAAGGCATCAAGCACCCTGTGACATTCCTCTACACAGGGTCAGGGCGTTCCTCCACCAAGGGGGGGACTCTCGGCACGGGAGAGCCAGCACCCAGAGCTAGGAACAAACCTGGACAAAGATGTCCTTGTGCTGTGAAAGGGCCAAGACCAGTGAAAAGCACCCCTGGTTTGAAGGGGGTCTCTGAGATGGGCTGTATTGGCCCATGTAGGGCTTTAAAGAAGCTGCCTGGGATCTCGATTTGCACCCAGAAGGGAGCTGTCAGACTGCGCGAGGTAAGAGCACTTGTGGGCTGTGCTCTCACTAGCTCATCTCACCTACGAGGTGGGCAGCCATATCCCCATCCACTGGAGTCTTGTCGCTGCCCGGTGCTGTGAGGTTAGGGTAATGGATAGACCCTTGGATTTCACTCTCTTTCCTTCCTGCAGGTGACCTGCCTGCCCTGGAACGACGACCCTCTCGCTGCTGAAACCAACCTCTTGAAGGAGCAGCTGGAGAAGGTGAACAGAAGAGGAATCCTGACCATCAACTCCCAGCCAAACATCAATGGCAAACCGTCCACTGACCCCATCGTGGGCTGGGGGCCCAGTGGGGGCTATGTCTTCCAGAAGGTACCAAGCATAGATGTGTATGGCTAGAAGGGACCCTTAGCATCTAGTCTGGCCTCTTATGCAGGAGATCGAAGAACGTTGTTCGATTTCTGCATCCAGCCCGGTAACAGCGGGTTGAGCTAGAAGTACCTCTGTAGAAAGAGATCCAGCCTAGATTTTTTTAACCTTCACGTGATGACCGATCTCTAGATAATTCATTCCAGTGGCTAATTACCCCCACTGTTAAAAAATGGGACTTGATTTCTAGTCTGAATTTGTCTAGCTTCCACTTCCAGCCATTGGATCTTGTGACGCCTTTGCTTGCTAAGATTGAAGAGCCCCTTATCAGGAATCTTCTCCCCCTAGGCACTTCTAGACTGTGATCCAGTCACCTGTCAGTCTCCTCTTGGATAGACAGATGGAGCCTCTCACTGAAAGGCAGGCTTTCGACACCTGGATAGTCCTACCCCAATGCCTGTATCTCAAGGCTGCTGTACCAGCCTCTTCCATTCGCCGTCTTTTCCAAAGCTGCTTATTTCAGAGCTGGGGTTTGTTGGGCTAAGGACACGTCTAGCTTCAATTCCCTGAGCTCCCTCCCAGACCTTTCGGCTTGTTACTTTCCAAAAACCTGCGTTACAGGAAGTGATAGCATCTGGCTACGTGCCCAATAAGAGAATTTTCTGCCAGCTTGCGGTGACTCTGCTGTCTGGTGCAAGAGCAGGCAGGGAGATCTGGCAGGAGATGGGGACCGAGAAGATCTGGACTGTACTCCTGGCTCTTCCACCCACTCGCTGTGTTGCCTTGGGCGAGCCAATTAATCTACAAACCTCTATTTCCTCATCTGTAAAATAGGGACAGTGCCACTTCCCGGCCTTTGAAGTGTTTCACCTCTGGGGATGGAGAGTGCTACTTACATTTTCCCTCTCATGGACCAGGCCCCACTCTAAGTGCTGCCTGCAGGGTATCCAGTAGGTGGTGCTCTTCCCTCCAAGCCACTGCCTCACATGGTGGTGCAGGAGGTACTGTCCTTTGGAGGAAACAGAACACTGAGAATGTCATAGGATCTTTAAGGACCGCAAGAGTGTCCTGGTCAGCTTCCAGCTTGTTGTTCTGCTTCCCTAAACTCTCCCTGCAGTTTCACTCGGAGAGGGATGCCTAGCTCATAGGTCGCACTTCTCATCAGATCTCAAGGTGCTTTACAAAGGCTCATTATCCCCTTTTACAGATGGGGAAACTGAGGCACAAAGAGGGGAAATAGCTTGCCCAGGGTTACCCAGCTGGCTAGTGACAGAGCCAGGACTAGAACCCAGGTCTCTGGCATCCCAGACCAGTGCTCTGTCCCCTAGACCATACTGCCTGCCCGTTGTTCTTTATTGCCAGTCCTGACCAGTTGCACAGTGTTACCATGCACTGTTCAGCCAGCGCCTGTGCTCCACCCCAGAGCCTGGCTACATTTCAGCGATGGCTGGAAGCGATTTCTGTATTTCCCTTGCCTGTCTCGTGTGAGAGAGACAGCACTTTGAGATCCTCCAGTGAATGGCGCTATAGAAGTGCAAAATATCATGATGATGATGGGGTCCCCCAGCATCAAGGTAAACAGTGGGAGCAGAGCACATGGTGGGGAACAATACGAGCCAATTCAAAGGGATTTGGATCGTTAAAGCCGCTGGGCCAGCAGATGGCAAATGCAGTTCAGTGGCGAAAGATTTCCCCAGGAGCAAGGAAATCAATCATCCAACACAATGGCCAGGAAACAGAGCTAGTGCCCAGTTGGGAGGGAGGCAGTTGCTGAATCCAGCCCAGAGCAGCAGCCAATGGGGAAAAGGAGGAATTAGGCTGTCTTAGGCATACGCAGAGGACACCAGACAAAAGAGGTGCTGCTGTGACTGGTCGGGCCCTCATTAGAGCCCAGCTGGGATCGCTCGCCGGACCGCGGGGGTGAGATTGCCAACGGGGGTGCAGCACAGAACAAAGCTGTCAAGCCGGAGTCTTTTAGAAACAGAGCCCACGGGGAGGCTTGATTTTGGACCCCTTCACTCTGAAGGACCTAAGCTAGGAGGATGGGTAAGAGGCTGCCTGCAAAGGATTATCAATACATTGGGCTTGTGCCCTGTGTTACCTCTGTGTGCTAGGCACTTTTGGGGCCACTGCCACTTCTGCCCTTTGTTTATTTGGCCATTCCCAGCTCTCCCCCTGACTTGCCTCAGTTTCCCCATCTATAAAATGGGGATAGTATGGGCCTGTCTCAGGGGGTGGGATGGATGGATTCTTCTTAGTACCTTCCCCATTTTAGCTGCTGGGGCTTCAGAAAACTGGATGAGTCCTCAACAGCTGGGTTTCCCACGGGTTCCTCCCGTCCCTGCACTGCAATGAGTTTTGGCTTCTGTTTCCTCCCGCCCACGCAGGCATACCTGGAATTCTTCACCTCCAGCGAGAACATCACCGCGCTGCTCAAAGTGCTGAAGACGAAGAAGTACGAGCTCCGTGTGAATTACCACATTGTCAACGTCCGGGTAAGAGCGTGCTTAGCCGATGCTTCCCTCCCGCCACGTCCCGGAGACCCCGGCGGCCGAGGTCCTAAGGAGAGAGAGCAGGTCTGCCAGCAGGTCTGCCAGCTGGGAGCTGGTAATCGGACAGGGTGAAGCGGCACTAGCTATTCCCTGCAGCTCCTTCCTGAGCTGTTGGCTTTTCACCGGTTGGTTGATGGTTTAATTTCAGGAAGTAGCGCCCAGAAAAGCACCTCTGCGCCATGGCCCAGCTCCACTGCCCCCACTTCCCGCTCGGGACCATCTTTCCCTAGAAACTGCTTCCAATGTCCCGTCCTCCTCTTGGCAGGGTGAAAACATCACCAACGCTCCCGATCTGCAGCCCAACGCCGTGACCTGGGGCATCTTCCCAGGCAGAGAGATCATTCAGCCGACGGTTGTGGATCCAGTTAGCTTCATGTACTGGAAGGTAAGAGCCTCACTCCAGCTGACCTTTAACGTATCCCCACCTGGGGGTTAGAGAGAGGTGGTGCGGTTTGGTTTGGGGGGTTTTGTCTCTTCTTTATCAAGACCCACTGGACAGTCACAGGGCCACGGTAGTGCCTAGATGGGTTCCATCCTATGCTCCTTAGTCCTTATGCAATGGGAGCTTTGTCTGAGTGAGGGCTGCAAGATTCCCCTCCCCCCCGCATTATGTATTTGTTGTCTATCTGAAGTTGGCAATGTGAGTGCCAGCCCCAGGATTTCTGTGCCAGTTCCCACAGCAGTTGAGGCTGAGGCAGTACTGAGCAGCACTGGTGAAGAATACGCATGCACATGGTTTCTAGAAAGCAGGAGGCTGCGTTGATTTACTGCCCCGATCCTCAGCTGTGGAGTGGGGCAGACGCGAAGCCATACGCCCTCTGGCTTCCCCTCCCAAGACGAGCCGCCCTACACGACGACGTAGGCGTCGCAGCTAATGTGACGCACGTGCAGGTGGTGACTGTACCAAGCTCTCTGCCTTTGTCCCAACAGGATGAGGCCTTCGCTTTGTGGATTGAGCAGTGGGCTAAGCTGTACGAAGAGGAGTCTCCCTCTCGCATGATTATCCAGTACATCCACGACAACTACTACTTGGTCAACCTGGTGGACAATGAGTTCCCGCTGGAGAACTGCCTGTGGCAGGTCATGGAGGACACTTTTGAGTTGTTGAACTGTCCCACGGAGCAGTGAGTCACAGCTGCCTGCTCCGTCCATCCACCCGCTCACTGCAGGCAGCACAACTGCCATGGGGCAAGAGGAGCCCGGCTTGGCAGGACAGGGAGCCAGACACTCCGCCCAAGGGCCATGACCACTCTGCTCTCACCTCCTCATTGAGCCACGTTCTTTCTCCTGCTCTGCCCGAGGCACATGCTCGTCTCTCCCAGAGCAAGACTCCATCGGGGCTTCCCAATGCCCCTCTCTGTTACAAACTAACCATGTCCCAGTCTGTTCTCATATGCTAATGGCAGCTAGAACCATCTGAACCTCCCCGCAGAGCTGCAGGCTGCACTCTAAGAAACGATCCAGCAGCTTTTTCAGTGTCCTCTTCAGGGTCTGTTTCAATGTGATCATAGTGGGGACTCGCCCACTCACTGCAGCAGAGACAGCGTGCTGGGGTATTTGGACACTAAATGGTCTAAAAGACTTGGTCACGTTTTTCTCCCAACCTCCCCACTCCCCTTTTTGTTTTGTTTTTTAAAGGAACGGGAAGAAGGGAATTCTCCAGGTCAATTTCAGCTCTAGTTCAGTGATTAGGAATTAATTAATAAATAGCAGACACTCACATGTGCCTCATTTCTGGATCAATGAGATGGGTGCAAAATCTCTCAGCCCTGGGTTTGGATTTTAGGTCAGTTCAGCTCTAACCCAGCTGAAAGCGGTTTTGAGAGTCATGCCAACATCCTCTCCATGCTCAAGGATGACAGTGAGGTTGCTCCATTAAGGGTGGGGCCAGCCAGGCAGGAGTGAGGCGTTTAGCAGTGGGGCTAGTGTGTGTCATGTACCAACTGCTCAGGGACTGGATTTTACAGCCTGTGGCCTCCACTGGTACAGGTGCAGATTGGAGGTGTGCGCACAACCTACCCCTGTGGCTGGGCCACAGAGCTGGTTAAGCCGGCTCCAGTCTGGCTAACAGAGCTGGGGCTTTCACCCTCCGGCAGTGGATGCTCATGCTTTATAGTAATCCAAGGGAAACCTTAAAATGTCCCAACAAGATGCAGGGTTGGTGTGTGAGCTTTTTCATTTTCCCCACAGCTCAAGCCAGGATGAACTATTCCTAATCCCTGCCCTAGGCTGGATTGTGGATCCAACTATGTTTAATCCCTACACTGTAGAGGTACCTGGGTAAACACTCTAAATCTGACAGTTAAAACATGGTTCGCTTTAGGAACACGATCAGAATCTGGATGGTACAGGCCCAGTGGTGTTACAGAAGTGTGTAGTGTTGTCTTGTGTGCTGGAAGATCAGGCTTAACCATGGTTTAACTGTCTCTCCAACCAGTCAGGAGTGGGAGAGTCTAGCCAGGCGGAGTCATTCCAATGTGCTGGGTGCACAGCTTTGAACACACCTCTGCTAGCAGGGGGCCCTAGGCCTGGGGCCTTGAGCACCACAACCAGGGCCTTGCGCACAGCACGAGCTCAAACAATAAACAGTCCTCAGGCAGCAGCAGTTCTAGTTAAACTGAGCAGCTGGTGCAGTCAAGGATTCAGCCCCTCCAGAGCCTAGCTGAGCAGTGGGACAGGTCCATTCTGCACAAGTGCCTGTCACCAGCATTGCTATTGGGGGGGCGGGGGAGGGGGGAGAGCATGAAGTGAAATGAGACGTTTGGCCAAACCGCAGCCCATGCTGCAGAGTTGATGGGGCATGTCTTCCATTCCACAGTGCATTGGGGGTGGGGGAGGAGACAGATGCCTTCACCTGAGCATAGCCAGGAGGGGAGCTGTGGGGGAAGAACACAGCAGTGACAGCACCAGGCTGAAACAAGCATCTAAAGGAGCAGCCTGCTTCAGTGACACTGAACGTTGGACAAACCAGTGTGGCAAAGCTTGAGCCGATGACCTACTGCCATCATAGACAAGCTCGGGGCAGCTTCTGGGGGGATTTCAAAACCCCTGCCCAGCTCAGTGAATGCTTTTTCCCATGAGCACTGGGGAGAAGCACTTCCTACATCCTTCTGTCCCTTTAATTTTAGCCTTGTGGGGAATGGCTGATGCCCTGTAACCACCCTAGCTAGATCAATCGCTGCAGGCGCTAATGAGGGGCAGGGGGTGGGGGCAGACATGCCCACCTGGCCTCAGCAAAGCTTTTTGATGCTCAGCTGTTCCCAGCAGGTTTCTTCATCACAGCCCCATTCAGCAGAGAAAGGACCCTGCGGGAGGCAGAGGCTCAGAGGTCGGCCACCCACCGAAGGGCTTAATGAGGAGCTGATGGACGGGAACACATGCAGGAGCCGAGGGCTGCACAAGAATCCCCACGGGGAAGAGGCAGATCTAAAAATAAAGCCCCTGTTCAAGCCAGCATGGGCTGCCCCTAGCCGAGTTACGCTAGGAGGAAGCGGGGGCTGGACGGGTTGGAAGCCTCAAGCCCACAAGCAGGAAGGGAGCTCCTGGGCAGGAGAAGAGCTTGGTTTCTTCCCCCCGCCCCCGGATTAGAGAACTGGATCCTGGCGTAGCCTTGGCCAGGGTGGAGCCGTTTGTGGTACAGGGTGAACCCCTGATTGAAAGAAAATCATGTGGCAGACCGACGTTTAATCAGCACAGCCTGCACCAGACAAGCTGCGTGCCCCCAGCAGTGCATTCGTCCTGCCTTGCGCCAACATAGGCAAGGCCAGTGGGCGAGGAGAGTGCCCTTTTCTGCCCCAGCGAACTCGAGTGAATACGCCCCTGACGCAGGGCAGGGAGGAGACACGATGTCCTGTGCTTTGAAACTGAGCCCCAGGCTGGAGACGCTCTGTTCCTAGGAGTGCCTGGCAGGCCGCTGTGGCACTAGCAGAGCAGGGACTGGCTCTGCCAGAAGCTAGTAGCCCCTGCAGCTGCCTGGTGGGGACAGTTCTGAGAAAGCACCACTTCCCTGCATTCTTGGTAAGTGTTCAAAGGAGACACACACGCCCCTTCCTTTCAATACCCAGCCATGTTCTCAGCTGGCCCAAAGAGGGGAGCTCTGGCCAGTCCCTCCAGTAGCTCAGCAGTGTCCTCTGCCCTCCAGACGGGACCCTGTCAGCTGGTGCCACCTTCCAAAGGCCTGAAATGGAAGAGGGGAGAAGTCAGACCCAGGTCACAGCTGGGTGGCCCCCAGCATTCTGCAATGCAGCCCCAGCCACCCTCACCTTGACTACATCATAGAGGGGGGACTAGAGGTCCCAGTTTATAGTGCTCCACCTGGGTGAGGCTGCATGGCCTAATGGGCCCTGCCATCTCTACCCACTGCGTTAAGTGTGGGCCTCCGACTTCTAACAAGGGGCTCAGGAGGGCTGAGCGTGGCCTGGACTCATCCAGCAGGATGTGACGGGGATCCCCATCTTTTACGATAGGGCCAAAGAGCGTTTGCCTGGAGGTCTCTCTGCCACCCCCAGCCCTGGGGCCTGGCTCAGAGACCCTGTCCCTCCCTAGCACTTAGGGAGACTGGCTAGAGCACAGAATCTCTTCCCAAGGCAGAAGGCTCAAGTCCCGCCAGCAGAGCCAGCCCATCTGCTGCACGCAGGAGGTCAGCGTTAGACACGGGCTGTTTGCACATGACCCCGACACGCCTCCACTTTCCCTGCGATGCAGCGAGAAGGGGCCAGCAGCGAGATTGCCACGAACAGTTAATCCTGCAGCTTACTCTCCTTCCTGCACCCAGCCGACTGCAGGAGTGACCCAGGGGGAAAGAACTTCCCCTGGCCCGGGCAAGCGCCGTGGGCTCTGGGCTGGGTCAGCGGCATCTCCCAACCAGCTTTACTTGCCCTGCTAGTTAGAACAGCATAACGCTGAGTCAGCGTAGTTCGGAAACAGCCTCCTAGTAGCTGAGAGAGCAGGGCCCAGGCCAATGGCGCCATCACACGTGGCCCATGCTAATCCCCACACCTGCCTAGACAACAGCAACCCCTCCCTACCCCTCAGCCAGGATTGATTAGCAGAGTCTCCGCTTACTAAGGCTTCATTAACCCCGTGCAGCATCAGGCCTCAATCTCCTTTCGTTCAAGGCAAGGACCCACAACACTAAGGAACACACAGAATGGAAACAGCACCTGCGATGGGACTAGCATGGAAAACGCCATTCCCTTCGGTGCCCTCTTCCCTGCTGCTCTGCCCGCCTGTACCGAGCCTTTTTACACTGTAAGCTCTTGGGGCAGGGGCTGTCTCTCACTAGGCGTTTGTGCAGCGCCCGGCACGAACTGGGTTAGGGCCTCTAGGTGCTCCCATAATACAAATAATTTGTAGTCCACAGAATCACAGAACTGGAAGGGACCTCGAGAGGTCATCTAGTCCAGTCCCCTGCGAGAAGCTTCAGCTACTAACTGGGAGATCAAGCAGAAGAGCTGTAAGCTCCTACCCTGGCAAGCAGGCTCCGGTCTTCACCCTCCAGGAAACTCTGGGTCACCTGGCTTTGCAGGTAGCGCCTCCTCCAGATCCTCCAGCCCCATTCCAGCAGCCTCTGCCCAACCTGCAAGGAGAAAAGGCAGAACACAGAGGTTAGCTCCCTCTGCCCGGCACTGTCTGCCATGAATCTCCTTCCCCTCCTCGGCCAGCGTTCAGGCTGTTTAGATTGCAAGCTTTCAGGGGCAGGGGCCCGTCGCCTTACCCCGTTGGCAAAGCAACCTGCACACCAGCAGCACTCTAGGAGTAATCAGCCAGGGGCCAGCTGAAGGAGCACGCCTGTTGCTGGGACCCTCAGATGGGGCTCAGAACAGGTCCCAAATAGTCACTTGTCCAAGGAGGAGGACGACAGAATATGGGTCTGTACTAAAACCACATGGCTGGGGATTGAATAGAGGAGGAGGTAAAGGGAGGAAGGAAGACACTGAGTAAGGAGGAGTGTGGGTTAGTAGTTTGTCAGGCACACGAGGCAGGACTCCTGGGTTCTCACACCACCCCTGCCAGGGACTTGCTGTGTGACCTTAGGTGCAAGCCACTTAATCCTCCGTGGGCCTCAGCTTCCCCATCTGTGACACAGGGATGGGGACTATCCACTCACCTCCCAGGAGGGCGGGGCTTTGAGAGGACAGCCACTGCAGGAGCGTTCCCCTTGTTGTGGATGGGCCCAGACATTCACTCACCAGCGCTCGCATGATCAGTGCCGTCCTGCTGGCGTCCATCCACCGCTGCCACCCGCTCGCCAGAGAGCGCATCCTCCTGCTGGCCCGGAACCGGCGGAGCAGCACGTTGTGTCGCCATCGTCTCAGGTACTTTGTCCTGGAGGCAGAGAAGGAAAAGGAACTTGCTCGTCCCAACGGCTGCACTCGCCGCGGCTGATGTTCTCCCGCAGCACAGACACAGCCGGCCTCACTGCTTCCCGGGGAACCTGACACCGCTCCAAGGCAAGGATCGAGTGACGCGGGCAGTCCTTGCATCTAACCCGCACTCAGCTCCTTACACCTAGTGACTGGAGACTCCCGGCCCATCTGTTATGTGCTCTCCATTGGTCGTAAAGGATGCAGTGGGAGGAGGGGGACAAGCCGGGACTCACTGTCCTCCTCCTCCCCCCTCCCCCCCCTCAACAGTGACACAAGGCTCATCCCTGCTTATTTGATTAGCACATTTAGTGCAGATAGTAAGGGTCAGTTAACAACCCTG